CAAAATCATTTGAAAACTATAAGGTATACTTTCTACCATTATTTCCTTTGTTTCTACCCGAGCAGATCATTAAAATTCAATTGGGCCGATTTCTGTAGAAATCGCCCCCCGTCCTTTATGATTGATAAGAACCAGTAAGATTGAGTTAGAGTTATAAAAAGTAGTTGATGGAGATACGCGTTTTTGATGAAAGAGTACAGTGAGACAAAAACATTTTGTTGGATAAAAAAGGTTTTTTTAATGGCAATAGACGATTTTGTCTTTGTCTTCGTTGGCTTTGTGTACTTACTGGATTTTCATTGCAGAAATGTTTGAGTCAGTGGAAGAATTTTTAAAGAAAATTCGCAAAAAAAAATTAGACCGATAATAGGCAACATTTTTTGAATATTGTATGTTTTAATTAAGATGTGGTAGAATGAGAGTCTATCACTAAATCGGAGCAGTTCAGCCTAGTCCATAATTTTCTTTAAAATGAAAAATTCGTTGCCTGTACTGGGCTACCGACTAAGCTGAAACCAGTCTATTCGGAGCTGCAAAAGGATACTTGTTCACTAACGTATATTTATATAGGAAAGAAAGAGAACGAGCACATATATTTATAATACTTATATTACGTCCTAAGTGTGTCATAGCTCACAACAATTAGAATTTTGGAATTCTGTAAGTATTCTCGAAATGCATAGTTTCGTATCTGCTACTGTGTTTTATTTTGATTGAATAGTTAACGAGAAAATACGTCTTCAATGTTCGTATGTTATTCATTGATTTAAAATTATACAATTTTCAAAAGACTATTTATAGCTTTTCTTTTTTCATTGAGACACGATGTTTTTTAATTGAAGCATCACTTTTGATGAAACAGCTTTGGCCGGCAAGTCAACATGAACTTCACGTTTGGTGTTATATTTTTCTTGACTAAATTCAATTTCATCAATTTGCTCACGAATTAATTTTCCATTGATAGGTAGTTGATATAGAGTACTAACTAAAATGAATATATCTTCAGGTCGTAAGTTTTCGGTTGCATTATCTGAATTTCTTTCATCGTGTATTGTTTTTTTGAATAGTTCCATATCTCTCATAAAATCAGTCATCATTTTCTCAAGATTAGTAATAATTTCGGTATTGTGAGCACCTGCACTCTGTTTCATTTGTTCTTCACGAAGAAAATATCGAAGATATTCGGGAAAATCATCATTTATTGGAAGTATTGCGTTTGCATGAAGAAATCGAACAAGCTTTTTATAGACATCTTGAATTTTGTTTTCTTCTTCTCTTAAATTGTTAATATGTTGGTCAATATCATTTAGAGACATTTCTTTATTTGATCCAATGCGAGTACGATATGTGTTACAATCATAAGTAGTATGCTTATGTTGCCTCCAGTTACAACCGCATACTAAGCACAAACCTGAATAAACAGAAAAGAGTTTATACTATTAAAAAAAAGATACAGAATAGCATTGTATATATCATTCATAGTCGTTAATAATCTAACAAAACTTGAATCAGTAGTTGCATCTTATCTCTGTATTAATTTTTGGTGTAAGAAAGATCATTATGAAAGTTTGTAGTATCTGTAATATAGTAAAATTTTCAATAAATAAAACAGAAATGAATCTGGTCTCGAAGATAAACATCTTTTAAAGATGCATAAAACAAGAGAAGAGTGAATAAGATAATTCAATATAGCTCTTAGAGTTTTAGAAGTCAAATCAACAAAAGTCATGATGGACTGTTTTTCTCTATGAATCGTCTTCTATCTCATTCCAGAGCGTATCTGCTATCTTATTGCCATTACCGGTGACATCTTACCTATGTATAATTTAAGCTTGACTATTTATTTTCAGTCTTTTTTTCTTATCAAGGGGATCTGACTCATCAACACTATGATTTCCTGCAGACTTAATATCGAAACACGATTCATAGTGATGATTGATTCTCGTATTTATCAATGTTATTCGAAGACACTTGAATAAGTTTTTCTGCTACAGAAATCCAATCTCAAACTGTCAAATTTCATCTTAGTGAATCGATTTTGTAGTAATCTTAAACTCTATTGAGAACAATAGATTTTATTATTTTAGCAATAACAACACGAAGGGATTGTAAAAAGTTTAACATAAACTTCCATATTCTCTGTGAAACCATGGCTTTTTTTCTTCTTAAATGAAAAGGTATAAATAACAGTTTTACTTTTGAACTAAGAATACATTAGGTATTGCGACAAGCTGACAACGTCATAGTAAAATGAACATTATTGAGAATAATTGAGTAAAAGATTGGCTATAAATATGTTTTAAACTATTAACTAGAAAAAAATCAATAAGTATAAACCTACGAGATACGAGATTTTTGAAGGATACAAAATACTATTTATTCAACGTTTATCTATTGAAGACATATACATTGACATTAATAGAAGAAAACGCACTTATGTCTAAAGCTGCTTAAAAGATATTGCAAGAAATATTTAATATTTTGTTTGTTTTAATTAATCTCATAAGAGATATAAGGTTATGGTTCTTGCAAACAGAATTTCAGAAATAAAAATATAGAAACCACTAGTCTTAAGTGATAGATGATCCTATCATCTGCTAGACCTGAAAGATCTTACCATTGTCAGGATCCATCGCTTCACATTCTTTCAGTTGCAGATCACTTATTTTTTCTTGCACAACACCTTTCAAATAACATTCTTCATGACATATAGATAAATATTCCATTTTTGTTTCATTCCCATCTTGAAAGACTCTACAACATCTTTCACCAATACACACTGTTTGTGGATGTCTGAAATCTACGATTGTAGCGTTATTTTGAGGTATTCCTTGTGATGCAATTTCAGGATTATCAAGCATTTTATTTTTATACTCTTTAGCAAGCTGAATGTTTTCTTCTATAAGTTTTGCTGTTTCAGCAATTGGACGACTAAGTTTTTGAATAAGTTGTTCGGCTTCATTCAACGAAAGCGTTTTACTTACACGGTGAAGTGGACGAGTAACAATGTGTGCCATTAGACGTGCATATTCGTTTACAGAATGATCCCAACTTTTATTGTAGCTTAGTGTTTGTTCTTCGTCTAATTGTATACCATTTTTGCGCAATGCTAAGTAACGAAATGGCTCATTATCAAAAAGAAATGTATTATCCATTGAAAATGGAACGTCAACATTCTGTTCTTCACGATGTTTGTCTAAAAGTTCTTTAAGAAGTCTTTTTGTGCTACCTGGCACGAAGAAAGTTGATCGTGCATTTGTAAAGACAAAAATGATGTTATCTTTAGCACCGACATGTAAATGTCGAAGAAGTTCATTGATACAGAATCGAAAAAGTATAGTCAAGCGTTCTTCATTTGGCTTAAGTAAAAAAAACACTGCGTTCAAATGTTTATATTGAGCGATATAAGTTAATATTTCTTGAAAGTTTTTAGCATCTTGTTCAAGACTTCTAGTATCGCCGATGCCTGGTGTATCAATAAATCGTAAATTTCGATCGCCAATTGGAAAAATGAAGCTTCGGCATTGTTGTGTATTCGATTGACCTATATCCCTAAACTTTTCATGTTCGTCCTCCTCACCGATAACGATCATTTTTTCATCAAATGTGTCATACGTAGTAAAAAAAAAAGAAGACGGAATAATGACTTGCATTTCATCATTAACTGCTTCGTTAAGAGTATCATTAACCATATAGTTGACGAAAGCATTAATGAATGTTGATTTTCCAACACCTGTTTGTCCTAGTAATAATATATTTATTTCTTGATCACGAGGACAGCGTGGATTTGTTTTTAAACGAGATTCTTTCTTTGTTCGAAATCGTTTTTCCATTTTGATAGTTTTTATTTTGTTGTATTATACTAAAATAGAAGAATATTAGTAAAGAAAAAAATCTCAGAATTACTATACACTAACAGTTGAACTTCATCATGTAAAATTTAGCAATTTATTAATGTGAAAAGTTATAATATTTACGACCTTTTTTGAAAAAAAAAGACTAGAAATGATATACAACTGTGACTCTTTGTCAAAATATTTTTAATAATCAAGTGTTGGAGTGTGAAAATGATGATGAGGATAAGTGTTTCACACGCTCACCAGTCACTCTTGCCTACTTTCAACCTCAGAAGATTTTGTATTTCTTTAAAACGGTTCGCTGGTCTTTTGCGCTGTAAGAGTTGCTAGTGAGTTATTCGTAATATATATATATATATTGTTAGCAACTCTGTTATTTAATCAAACTGCACACTTTAGGTATAATTCACCATTTATTTTGATCAAATTTACCTATGGAAGATTCGACTGTTGGAAATTGAAATGTCACGTCACATTTTATTGTGTACGCGAAAGGATTAAAGATTGGAAATAAATAAAAATACAATGTGTTTGTTTTTGTATACTTTGACCGTGTAGTGTGTGGGTATGTGGAAATCTTCTCTTCGCTGATCCATACCTACAAAGCATAATACTACTTGTGCTATTTAAAACAAACGCATCCTTTTTCCAAAATTTTCTTGTTTTTTTTTTGAAAAAGTCCCAGACACTATTATTCAAAAAAATGCATAATTGGTTCTTCTAAAAACGCTTTATTTTAATGCATGTTCTGTTTTCTTGAAAAACAAAAATAAAAAACATGGAACCTCTACCTACGACCATATCCCCACGTAATTCTCAACGTCTGCTCTCTTTTTTTAACTAATCTAACTATTGAAGTTTAGTTCAAACAGCAACTGATACCTGGATTTGTTTTCGTGAGAATGAATGAAAAAACAATGATATAAAGCAAAAATACTTATGTTTGTCTACAGCGTCTCTTATATCAGTTTATCTTTGTTGTAAATGTCCAATATATCTGAAGATAATAATGCTTTTTTCCAACGCATATACTCTTCAAATAAAATGCGCATCATACATGCAAACAGAGATAAAGAACAGTTGTTGATAAGACCACATTCACAGATGTGTTGTAATATCCAAACTTTGAGCAATGATGAGCTAGAAGTCACGATATCCAACAAGGCAGATACCAAACTTGATACCCATATGTCTTCAGAGTAGAGAATTTCAGTGAATTTAATGTCTTTGTGAATATGGAGAGTGATAGTGTCGATGAAGCTATAGGTCACAGTGAGCGTGCGTGTGTGGGTAAATTTGGGATCATGCGGTTCGATGCATCAAGATAAGACCTACCTACATAGCCTTGCCTCAATATCCTAAGCTTTGGAGATATGCCAGTATCGAGTCTAGCATCCATGCCGTTACAACAGATTTACTCAAAATCTTCAATTCAACAGGTACTTGCATATCGAGTTCGGTATTCTTCTCACTACGCTATACTGACTTAAAATTGTTGATTTAACGGTATATGGGTATCACGAATTCATTAACCTTTTCGTTATCAACAAAAGTTACATATATATAAAATAGAGTGTCTTTACGTCACGCACATTTTCGTTTTTTAACGCATGAGTCCAATATGAGCCGTAAGAAAATGATAATGTAGAAAGCGTCTGCTGTTTGACGTTTACTTTTACGCCAATGTATCGAAAACATATACATTATTAGTAATTACATTAGTTTCATGTGACGATAATAAAGCCCATGATGCATATTTGCGTTGCTGGTCATCAAAGGGTTCAGCGAATATCCTAATACCTATGTCATGAATATCGATACTTGAGTTACGGACAGCATGACATTTTCTCCACATTCGATCCAGGTTTTTTTAAAATGACTATATGACGAAAATAAAATTAGTATAGGCTACAAAACTAGCATAGTCATTTTTCTTGAAAAGACTTCGAAGCTTTTGGTCCCCTATTCTGTTGCAAGATTTCGGAAAATCTTTGTTAAATATTCATTTTTTAGACATAGTTAGAAATATCATTAGAGTGTGTCGATGTGGATCGCCTTTTGACGGTGCTACCGCTAGATGAGTTGTATTGAACAATGAACCGTTAGCTGATATTGCATTTGCATGAGCGTATATCAACATACGTATATAGGAAAAAGACATTTTCCTATAAAGCAACTGGATTTGATTCAATGCTTTGTGCGTCATTAGCACAAGACGCGTAAGGAAAACTGAAAAAGTGCATGTGTTAATATTCTATTTTTTTGGACAAGTTGTAAAAGTCAACAACATTCACTATTTTTCTGACACAAAGGTAATCTTTCATGATCGAAGATTACTAGAAAATCCTGGCTTACAAGAATACGTTTTCGGTAAAAATCTTTCTTTTAATCTAAGATCTGTCTAAAACCTACGAATGTTTCGTTTTGAATCAACATGTAGAACTAAGCTTTCTCGATAAAACAAATAATGCATCAATTTCTCCAAATTGTTGTATATGAATAATAATTTATTTATTTCTTCAAGCAAGCCGCTTCAGTTTTGCAATAGTTTTATCTTCGTCAAAAATGGAAAAAGGATGGAAATTAAGTATTTTTCCAGAATTAAAGCTTTCTTTTTAGTTAGTTTAATAAAGTACTGAATAATTTTTACATATTGTTATTTCTAAACTACTTTCCATAATTGATGCCTAACGATCAATTACGTCATTATGAGTTGTGGAGATGAGATTAACATATGGGTCGACACTTACTGCTGTTGAGAGTCGTCACAGCATAAATATTCTCGAAACTTTTGTCCATTAGTATTCTTACAATTTTAGACTATCCTGAAACAACTCGAACTATTTCCCCGTTTCAATCACCCAATGTTTCCATAAAATTATTGTTTTTGTTTCTGTATGATTATCTTATCTTTCTATTCCGGCTCGTTACTAGTGACGTGAATTTCACCAACAGAAATTACTAGCAAAATAACGACCAAATCTACCGCGCTCCAGTAAAGTTGTGACAATTTTTCTAGATGAATCGTATTCGAAAGAGAATCGAATTTTGTATCTAATTTAGTCATATATTACATAGTAGACATAATTTATTAGGTGAAATTTGAACAAGAACTACTAATAAATATGGGTCAAAAATTAGTGATACTTTTGATTGTCTAGGTAAAAGTCGCTCTTTGTAAATAGCCAAGATTGACTATAACATCATTTAATAGATCTTATCCAGTTATATCTTATAGATCAACTTTCACACTTGACGCAAGTCAATGAACAAAGATTTCATCATAAAATAGGTCACAGCCCATGTCATTTCGGTCACGAGTAGAAACAACAGGTTTTTTCAAATTCTATCTGATACAAACGTGTTTTAAACTGAAACGGCTCTTGACACGAACATCGAAAGAAAATTTGCGTTTTTTTTAATAACAACATTTTTTTAAAACTTATGATTTTTAACTTTTAAGCCGGTTTTTTGTCTCGGTCTAGCAGAACCAACATCTTTCTTTTGGTTCAAGTCTTTGAGCAAATATTTTTTCAAAACAACAAAAATTAGGTTACATAGTAATATGAATCTATGAGGCTATAAGAATAAAACCATAAAAAATCAATGTCAATTTGTTTCATAAATATAATGAATACATTTATGTTATAATAAAATTTGCGATATAATCTTCATGATTAACTGATATTACAATGAAAAAAAAATTTTGAAGTTTAAGAAGTCTCTTCAATGTTTATAGTAAGAAATAACATTGTTAAAACATACTACGTAGTTAATAAAGTAAAAGTAGCGAGTCCTGAAGAAAGATCATCATTTGAAATCGAAAAATATTATTCTTTTGATTCTTCAATGTTAATAGAATATTGTATTTTACCAGAGAGTTCTTATATTTTAATCCATGCTTTATATAATTCCTTTCCCAATACTGTTATGAAAGGAATTTTTATATCGAGATAGAGTAAAAACTTTATTATCTTTGACTTACTATTCGTATCAATTTTCTCATTTAAAGCAAATTCTGTGAATATTTTTAATATTTCATAAGTTTTTATGGCACTTTCATTTCTTAAAGATTCCAGTAAATCATCGATAAATTCATTTGATGATAAATGTATTAGTGGAATTCCAATCACGGTATATTCTTTCACAATATTTTCATCAAGTAATGTGTTTATTGCATTTATGATTACTTTATGATCAGATTGGTCCATCGCTGGAAGTAATATAAAAGCGTTGCCTCTTGCTGGAGACCATGGATGATGATTAAGCATGTTTTCCAAAAGTGTAATCATTTGAACTTTATTAAAATTTGAAGAATTTGTTATTTTTCGATACAAATAATCTTCCTTTTAAACACACGCCGATACCAAGCATAATAAATTGTCACATATAGCCAATACAAATAAAGTATTATCAAAAACTCTAAAACTTGACATTTTTTCTATTAATCACTTGATTAAATTTTCCATTAGAACAATGTTTATTGAAACATTATTTAACATATCCAATATTATTTGATTTAGGTTATTTGAGACATAAAAGTTACATCTACTTATATTGTTTCATTTCATCATAACGATTTTGTGAGAGACTTTCAACTTTGACAGATGTTTCGCTAATTAATTTTGATTCAAAAATTTCAAAATATATTTCATCATTAATATTTGTTAATGCGCAAATGTTATCAATAATAAATTCTATTCGTTCTACATCTGTATATGCGAGGAATAATTTTTCTTTAAATTGACTTGTGTCTGTTGTGGATAATATTCTTGCAAATTCAATCCAGTTTTCTTCTATAATTTGATCATGCTATGCTAATATCATTGTTGAGTAAAGTAATGATTCTAATGTTTGCATCATTGAATTCCAAGTATGATCATTTATGAAGTAAATTCTATTGAAAAACTGCATTCTTCTCCCATTGACAGAGTTTCTCTCTTGTAAT